GAAGACACTAGGATGTAATATATTTCAGAATGTCAAGGCATTCTAAGGCAATGCTATTGGTTCTCCTTATATGGTATATATAATGAGAACATGGAAACACTAGTAAATATGGAATATGAGCAACATTTTCATCTTTAAAATCATTAACCAAGAAAATTAAACCACTTCATTTTATATCAATTAATTAACAAAAACATATATATCTCTTACATAAAATAAAAAATACTATTAAGTTCCGCTGTATATATGTTACTTATTTTTTCAACATTAGATTAAGAACTATTAGTAAACAATTATTTAATCCAAAAATTTAAAATTATTTTCTTTAAAACTAAACGTTTCTTTTATATTTTATTATAATATATGAATATGATTACAAAATATTTTTAAATAAAAAATTATAGCTATATTGAAATTTATTTTTATTAATATATTATTACAATATTACTGTCGTAAATCTATATATATATATATACAGTGCCTTGCCAAAGCTTCTAGAGGCTCAAGGCGAGTTAAAAAATGGGGTCCTTTTTTAAGGATAGTTATAAATTAGATTTAAAAACAAAAAACGTTTAAATAAAGTTTAAAACCTACAAAAAAATACTACAACGTTAACAAGAAATGAAATCTATGACAATCTTGTTCTTTTTCTATGAACTTTTTACCAAACTCTCATAAACTATTTATTAAACAAATTTTCTTTCTATATATATGACTAATATTTAGGGCCCCGAGGCGAATGCCTTTTTCATAACACTATAGGCATGACATTGTATATATAAAGTTCGCTTTTCTCTCCTCTCACAAAAGCTCATCATCTTCTACATCATATTCCACATCATTGCCCTATCATATTTTTTGTTTCATTTTCTCAATTTTAAATTTAATACACATTATTTGATTAAAAAAATTAAATAATTGCAAAAATGCCACTTTTGGTGTGTACATTGTCAAGAATGCCATTTAGGAGTGTCCATTTGCAAAAATACCACTAATTATGAATTTTTAAAACCTAAATCTTAAAATTATAAATCCTAAAAAATGTTTTTGACCCCTAAAACCCCTTAAACCCTCAAAACTAAACCCTAATACATTATAGTTAACCTAAACATAAATAATATAATGAATTATTTTTTTGAAAAAGTGGCATTTTTGCAAAGATTTCGAAAAGGTGGCATTTTTGAAAAGTGGCACTTGAAAATGACATTTTTTGAAATTTCTCCTAACTATAGACATTTGGTTATAACATTATGAAAATAATTTGAAAAGTTATTATTCATGTTCTATACTAAACTAGAAAACCGAAAACTTATTATATCAATATAGCTCACTCAAATAATAACATTTTTTATAAACTTTTTTACAATATACTTTAACTTTTATAAGTATTTAAATAGATTAAGTTGTATCGCAAATATCTATACAAAAATCACTACAAGAAAACACAGTTTTAGCATCGTCAAAATTCGATGCTAAATCGACGCTAAAGGCATTTAGTGTCATTTTTGCGTCGAATCACATTTCGACGCTAAATTATCGACGCTAAACTAAATTCGACGCTAATTTAGCGTCGGAATATATTCGACGCTACGTCGACGCTAATTTAGCATCGAATTACCATCAATTTTTTCCGACGCTAGTTTAGCGTCGATTTAGCATCGGTTCCGTCTTATGTCGATGCTAAATCGATGCTAATTTTGCGTCATTTTAGCGTCGATATTGGACGTATTCGATGCTAATTCGATGCTATATAGCGTCGATTTAGCATCGAATTCAATGAATTTTTTTTGAAAAAAAATATTTCTAAATGAAAATGTTTTTAATAAATCCCAAAGTTTTTTAAAAATTAGAAACTTTTATATATAAATCCGAAAATGAAAACATAAATTGTTTAAAAACAGTGAAAATACAAACATAAATTTTAATTTTAATGTTCGTCCATTAGATTAATGTCGTCTCTATATTCATTAATTATAGCTTCGGCTTCTTCGTCGAACTGCGTTTGACCTCTAGGTGGAGGTGGCTGTGTAGGACGTGGTATCCGGGAGAGGGCAGCATCTAAAGTTGGGTTATCCACTGCAATAATGTCCATCAGACTTGTCAATATCGTTAGTTGGCCTTGCATCGAATTGTTGGTTGACCGGAGATCCGCTTGTTCCGTCTTTAGCCGCTCAATCTCAGCATTAGCAGCGGTCAACTGCGTTGCCAACTACGGGTCAGAAGAACTCGGAGTGTAACTATACCGAGCGATAGAAGAA